TTTATCCTGTTTATTTGTGGATAGATAAACAGATATGTAAATTCCTCATGTTATGTATCCACAGGAACAATACTGAGAGAAAAATGCACATATATCAATATTGTAATGGTTTTTTGTTTGGCCCTTGCAAAGATGTATTGCAAGTTCTGCCATTGCATACCAGTAAACTGACTAACCTACCATTTGCAGGGAAATGCCAAATCATTTCATCTCATAGATCATTTTAGTATGTGGATCAAGAAGGAAAGCAGCCCAAATAGATGTGACGTATGAACAATATTTTCAGCCACTTATTATAAAAAAGTCAAAACCCAGTGGGTGTTTGAACAACATTCTATTTTCAGCTCTTCCCCTCAACCTGTCCTTTCTGCTTTTGTTAACAAGAGATTTTTCATTTGTTTCTAGTCATCATTTCTACATTCTTCAATGCAGTTCCATCTAATCACTGTCTGCCTACTCCCTCCATTTAACTGGAATGGTATTTGGAAAAGAAACATGTCTTAATAACTGCGAATTAACTGCCCTGCAGTTCCATTCAATCGATGTGCTCGTCCGTTCCATCGAACTTGAAGAGTAGTTGGAAACATGATATCAACAAGTACGGGAAGGAACTAATCAGCATGTGGATCCATTCCATCTTCCTAGGCCTGATTCATCCAATGAAATAACAGTAGCCGAGAACATGCAACGAATTAGCAATCAGATCCAAAGCATCCCAATGTGGTGAAGCGAAACCAAAAGACAACCTGAGACGACGAACAAAAAAAGGACCAGGGAAGAACATGAATCCGGAGCAAAATAGAACGAAAGTAAACCGGCTGACCCGTCCTGGGGAGAGTAGAAGCCGAACGGCCTTGTCGCGTCGCTGAGGTCGCAGACCTTGGATCCGGCATCGTCGTAGAGCTCGAGGACCATCGAGTCGACGGCGGTGCCGCACTTCTTCCACAGCTTCTCCTTTACGGATTCCACGGTCATCTAAGAAGGTCGAGAGCGAGGGAGAGCGATCAGGCGTAGGGGAGATCCGAGAAGAAAGGTGAGACGGGAGAACGGGGCCGCTACCTCGAGGGAGAAGCGGACGTCTGCGGAGAAGCTCTTGACGTTGGCATGGGTGACGCGGAGGACCACCGAGTCGTCGTCCGGCAGCTGCAGCCGAGAAGCCATCGTGGCCGACCCAGGGATTTCCTCCGCCCTTTCCCCTTCCTCTCCTTCCTTGTTGTTGTTGGGCCGCCTTCTCCGAACAATGATGAAATCATGGCCCATTCAAGGCCCATTTGGGCCTCTTCTTAATGTTAGCCCTCAACAGCACTGAGAGAGGAGCGGGTCCCGACGAACGCTGTCCCCAAAAATATATCAGATATTCTGAAAAATCAATCAGATTCGTATTTCTAAAGGAATAAATCCGATTGGTTTATGTTAAGACCGACTTGTTAATATGATGAGTATAGATCACCAGTCGGATCTTTTTAGGAGATCCCATGGATCCGTGTGTTCTATTACTAACGTAATTATTTCTATTATTCAATAATATAAATTGTTCGTAAGAAATCTAAATCACTAATCAATACTACTTAAGTTTAAATTAATAACACATGAAGGAGCTTTTTACATTAAAAAAATTTTAAGAAATCTTTGTCAAACCCATGATGATATATATATATATATATATAACATCA